GCCGGGGATGTGGAAGGGCGGATAAATCCCTTCCGGAGGCTCTCGTCGATATATTCTCTTAAGGCCCCTAGTTCCCACTCAGATAAGGGAAAAATGCGGCCAAAAGGAATCTCGGAGCCTGGGAGCAGATCGATGGGGCAATCATAGGCCCGATGTGGGGGAAGAACCTCTGCCCCCCGTGGACTAAACACGTCCAGGAATTTGTGGTAAGCTGCAGGTACCATTTGAGTTAACTCAGCCTCAGAGCTTACAGTTAACAAGGCCGGGGTATCTAGTGATGCCCTAGGTAGACAATGTTCCTGACAGTATAGTGAGTGGAACTGGATCGACCCGGACTTCCAGTCAATTTGGGGGTCGTGAGCTCGTAGCCAAGGGAGCCCCAGAATAACTGGAAATAGAGGGGACGCGATGGCGTCCAAGCGGAGAAACTCCTGGTGATAACCCGCCACCGTGGTATGTATAGGAGGGTTTCCCGGTCTACCGTCCCCGATTTTATCTGAGACCCATCAGCCAGAAAAATATTCACCCTGTGTTCTTTGGCGAGCAACGGTATCTGGTGCTGGGTAGCGAAACCGAGATCGACAAAGCAACTACAGGCCCCGGAATCAATGATAGCCATCACCTGTGTGCTTCCTCTGGGAAGCCGAAAAGACACAGGTACAGCCAAGTGAGTGGGGTTGCCTGCACATACAGTAGATATATTAAAAGGAATAGGAGAGAGAACTTAGTCTTTCTCCGGACAGGAGCTCACCATATGACCCACTGCTCTGCAGTAAAGACACAGGTTATTGGCTCGACGCCTCTGTCGTTCCTCAGTAGAAAGAGTAGGCCGCATCAGGCCGAGTTGCATAGGTTCGGCCCCCTCGGACGGTTCGGAGCTCCGACTGCCGACACTGACCCTTGGCATGACTGGTACTCCGGGCATCATCCATGAAGTTCTCTGCCCCTGGCTGGACCTCTCCTGTCTCTTTTCCCGCAGTCGGCGATCGATCTGTATGGCCCGATCAATTAAACCTTCCAAGGAGTCTGGAATTTCTGTTCTCGCTAACTCGTCCTTCAGTGGTCCTGACATTCCCAAACCGGAACTGGTGGCGTAAAGCTGCATCATTCCACTGTGTGTCTCCACTCCATTGCCTGAACTCAGCGGCATAGTCCTCCGCTGCCCGGCGTCCCTGTTGTAATGAATAGAGAGCTGCTTCGGCCGAGTCGGCTCGATGTGGGTCATCGTACAGTTGTGCCATCGCCTTAAAGAATGTGGCGACAGTATTTAAATGTGGGTGGTGGGCCTCCATCAGGCGATGAGCCCATCCCTGGGGCTCCCCCTGCAGCATGGATATGACAAATCCTACCTTCACTGATTCGGAAGAGAAGGTCCGGTGTTGCAGGTCAAAGTACAGCTGGCAGGAATTTTGGAAGGCCCTGAATTTCCCTCGGTCCCCACTGAACCGCTCAGGGGTCGGTACTCTTGGCTCTGGCGGGGGGATGGTAAATGCTGCTCCAACTGCAGACCCCGCTGCACCCATGGTCGGAGGAGTACCCACTGGGCCTGGAGTTGTGGGTGTTGGTGCGGCCAGGCTCTGGACCTGTCCCTCCAGGTGCTTGTATCCCTCTTCCAGGGTCTTCACTGCCCGTGTGAGTGCCGCCAGATGTTGGCACATCTCTTCCCAGGGTGAAGGTCCTCCTCCAGACTCTGACATGGCCGTATGGTTCTGTCAGGGATCCCACTGCGGTAGCCTCTAGCACTCCACAGACCGGATTCCCCCAAGGCGCGGAATCTAAGCTCCGACCTGCTTGTTCACCAGGGCCCCTGATGGTGGGGATGGACTTGGAGCAGGCCGAGACCAGGTCGCGGCACCTGGGTTCACCCAGCTGTGGTAGAAGCACCGTTGGAGGTGTATAGCAGGTGAGAGTCTGATGTGAGGAGGTAACAGGAGCAGCGTCGGGCAGGCCGGGTCGGTAACAGTGGTGGCGGCATAGTACAAAATCAGCAGGCAGAGGATAAACAGGTCACAAGCCGGGTTAGTTAACAGCAGGTCAGAACGTACAGGGTTAAGCAGGAGAATGGTCAGACAAGCCAGGGATCAGAGCAGGAGACGGACAGCAAAGCAGGGTCAGGTAGGGTCAGCTACAAACAATCTACTCACAGGAACTCAGGAACACAGATAAGACCATATGGCACTTGAACATTGCAAGAGCTGAGTTTAAATAGCCCCCGCCCGACTCCTGACAGGCGCTCCTGGGTCCTAGTGCTTGCCCTGCGCCGTCATTGATGACAGGCACGCCTGGGTCCTAGTGCCTCCCTGCCTGTACGTTTTGTCAGGATTCTACGCATATGCAGATTCGATCGCTGCCGCGATCTTCCCATTCCCTGACAGTCTCTCTCTCTGATGTGAAGGATGGGACATTCTGGGTAGTCTTTCTTGGTCTCTGATATGAAGGATGGGACATTCTGGGTAGTCTGTCTCTCTCTGATATGAAGGATGGGACATTCTGGGTAGTCTGTCTCTCTCCCTGATATGAAGGACGGGATATTCTGGGTAGACTGTCTCTCTCTGATATGAAGGACGGGACATTCTGGGTAGTCTGTCTCTCTCTGATATGAAGGATGGGACATTCTGGGTAGTCTGTCTCTCTCTGATATGAAGGACGGGACATTCTGGGTAGTCTTTCTCTCTCTGATATGAAGGACGGGACATTCTGGGTAGTCTGTATCTCTCTCTGATATGAAGGATGGGACATTCTGGGTAGTCTGTCTCTCTCTCTGATATGAAGGACGGGACATTCTGGGTAGTCTGTCTCTCTCTGATATGAAGGACGGGACATTCTGGGTAGTCTGTCTCTCTGATATGAAGGACAAGACATTCTGGGTAGTCGTCTCTCTCTCTCTCTCTCTCTGATATGAAGGACGGGACATTCTGGGTAGTCAGTCTCTCTCTCTGATATGAAGGACGGGACATTCTGGGTAGTCAGTCTCTCTCTCTGATATGAAGGACGGGACATTCTGGGTAGTCTGTCTCTCTCTCTGATATGAAGGACGGGACATTCTGGGTAGTCTGTCTCTCTGATATGAAGGACGGGACATTCTGGGTAGTCTGTCTCTCTGATATGAAGGATGGGACATTCTGGGTAGTCTGTCTCTCTCTCTGATATGAAGGATGGGACATTCTGGGTAGTCTGTCTCTATCTGATATGAAGGACGGGACATTCTGGGTAGTCTGTCTCTCTCTCTCTGATATGAAGGACGGGACATTCTGGGTAGTCTGTCTCTCTCTCTGATATAAGGATGGGACATTCTGGAGATTCTGGGTAGTTTTCTGTAGTCTGTCTCTCTCTGATAGGAAGGACTGGGAATATTCTGGGTAGTCTGTCTCTCTCTCTGATATGAAGGACGGGACATTCTGGGTAGTCTGTCTCTCTCTGATATGAAGGACGGGACATTCTGGGTAGTCTGTCTCTCTCTCTGATATGAAGGACGGGACATTCTGGGTAGTCTGTCTCTCTCTGATATGAAGGACGGTACATTCTGGGTAGTCTGTCTCTCTCTCTGTAGGGTAGTGTCTCTCTCTCTGATATGAAGGATGGGACATTCTGGGTCTGTCTCTCTCTCTCTCTGATATGAAGGACGGGACATTCTGGGTAGTCTGTCTCTCTCTGATATGAAGGATGGGACATTCTGGGTAGTCTGTCTCTGTCTCTCTGATATGAAGGACGGGACATTCTGGGTAGTCTGTCTCTCTCTCTGATATGAAGGATGGGACATTCTGGGTAGTCTGTCTCTCTCTCTGATATGAAGGACGGGACATTCTGGGTTTCTGTCTCTCTCTCTGATATGAAGGATGGGACATTCTGGGTAGTTTGTCTGATTTTGGGGGTCTCTGTTTTATTAGGTATCTTTTCTTTTTTATCTTGTGTTCTGTGTCTTTAAGACTTTTCTATCTGTAGTAAAATATATTTTTTTAAACAGTTGGTTGCATAAGAGTTAGGTTTATATTGTTTCTTACTTTTTTGTAGTTATTTTGGCTCCTCCCTGATATCTCTGTAAGGTAATACAATGCAGGAATGGGTATTAGGGGACATTTCTCGGGGCTGCAGTTCCTCTGAACTCCACAAGATGGTGATCTCATTTCTGCTACCCAGACAGGACTTCTCTATGGAATACAGACAGAAAGTGATGTCAGACAGGAAGTGATGTCAGGAAGTGATGTCAGGAACAGACAGGAAGTGATGTGGAATAAAGATAGGCTGTGCCATTTGGTGTGAATGAGATCGGAGACATTGCAGGAAATAGCAGCAGAGGAGGTAATAAGATGTTATGTTCTATTTACACCCAGTAACCCCCCCATGTCCGTCCTCTGTCATGTCCGTCCTCTTCCTCCAGTCATGTCTGTCCTCTTCCTCCTTCCTCCTCGTAGTCACGTGATGTCTTTTATCTCCAGTTGATGATGATACACATCAATATTTAGAAGGACACAAGGATATCTACAAAGACGTCATGATGGAGGACCACCAGAGAGGACACAAGGATCTCTACAAGGACGTTATGATGGAGGACCACTAGAGAGGACACAAGGACCTCTACAAGGACGTCATGATGGAGGACCACCAGAGAGGACACAAGAGAGGACACACAAGGACCTCTACAAGGACGTCATGATGGAGGACCACCAAGAGAGGACACAAGGACAAGGACATGATGGAGGACCACCAGAGAGGACACAAGGACCTCTACAAGGATGTCATGATGGACAATCAGCCGCCCTCACATCATCACCGGGTAAGGAGGAGAGCAGTTGTAAAGGAGGACGGAGGATCCACCTAGATCCCCCATCATCTGATAAACACATAGAAACAATGGATTCAGTCAGTGTGTGTGTTTCCTACAGATGGATCCAGTCATGGGAACCCTCCAGAGAGATGTCCCCGTCCTCTGTATTCCCGGGATTCCACACAGAAGGTCCCCTCACCATCATCAGGTAGATGGATCCAGTCATGGGAACCCACCAGAGAAATCTCCCCGTCCTCTGTATTCCCGGGATTCCACACAGGAAGGTCACACCATCCCTCACCATCATCAGGTAGGTTATTATTATACAGGATTTATATAGCGGCAGAAGGTTTGCTCAGCGCTGTACATTATAGTGGGGACAGAACATGAGACAATACAGTAACAATACAATACACGAGGGGTGCGAGGGCCCTGATCCTTGGAGCTTACAATCTAGGAGGGAGGGGGTAGTGGTACAGGAGGAAGTGGCTGTGGGGGATGGAATGGAGTGAGGGAGTGTGGAGGAGATCGGCTGTTAGGTGAGGGTGGGGGGGTAGGCTTCCCTGAAGAGATGGGTTTTCAGGGTGCGACTAAAGGTGAGGAGGGTAGGTGACAGTCTGATGGATTGGGGTGGGGTAGTGAGTTCCAGAGGATGGGAGAGAAGTCCTGCAGTCGGGCATGGGAGGAGGAGACCAGGGAGCTAGAAAGTAGGAGGTCTTGTGAGGAGTGAAGATTACGGGTTGGGTGGTATTTTTGGTATCAGGTCGGTGAGGTAGTTTGGGGCGGAGTTATGAATGGCTTTGTATGTCAGAGTTAGGAGTTTGAATTTAATGAGTTGGGCAATCGGGAGCCAGTGGAGGGAATGACAGAGGGGGGTGGGAGTCAGTGGAGGGAATGACAGAGGTGGGTGGAGTCAGTGGAGGGAATGACAGAGGGGGTGGAGGGCAATCTGGGGAGGCCAGTGGAGGGAATGACAGAGGGGGGTGGAGGCCAGTGGAGGGAAATGACAGAGGGGGGGGAGGAGGGAATGACAGAGGGGGGTGGCAGAAGCAGGAGCGGTTGGTGAGGAGGATGAGTCTGGCGCTGAGTTCAGGATAGACTGAAGCGGGGATAGTCGGTGAGGAGGGGCCGGTGAGGAGGGAGGAGGAGGGGAGGCCGGGCGAGGAGGGGGATGGCCGGGGAGGAGGGGATGGCCGGCGAGGAGGGAGGCCGGGAGGAGGGATGGCCGGCGAGGAGGTCGGCCGGTGAGGAGGGATGGCCGGTGAGAGGGGAGGAGGTCGGTGAGGAGGCAGTTGCAGTAGTCCACACGTGAGATGATAATGGGGTAGATGATGACAATTATTGGTAGGTGGGATTTATACTCGGCATGTTTGTTACAATGAATGTTTTTATATTATATCTCTCAGAGTGGAATCCTCGGGGATGATAATATTGATGGTAAAGAAGAGTATAAAGAGGAGGATGAGGAGGATGGAGTGATGGAGGAGTTTTCAGAAGGACACAAGGAGATGATGGAGCCACCTAATACCAGGAAGCCACCAGAGAGATGTCCCCGTCCTCTGTATTCCCGGGATTCCACACAGGAAGGTCACACCATCCCTCACCATTGCAAGGTTGGTGGGATGGAGCATCTAGAACATGGATTCATACAGACAATGTGTGGAGTTTCTGTGACCTTCTATCTTCCAGATGATATTTTCTCTCCTTCTCTTGATGTAGAGTGGAGATCCAATCGATATAGAATTTGAGGTGAAAGCAGAAGAAGAAGAGGCGTATGTGAGGGATGATCAGCAGTCTATGGAGGAGGATGGAATAACGGGGACATTTATAGAGGAGGACACTCCTACAGAGATCAGCACAGGTGGGTCATGAACACCAAATCCATTCCTCCACCCATACTGCTCACTGATTGGTCCAGAGTAGGGCGGGGGCGGGGTGATATCAGCCTGTAATACATCAGAAGAAACAATGCCGTCCCGATTGATCCGGTAAACGTATCTGGATTATATCTGCGACTCACTTCAATAAAAGCGTGGATTGTAAACCTGAAATACTGGAACTCAGAAAAAATGGCGGCTGACTGGCGCATTACCGCCTACAAAGTGGTTCCTTCCATCCCATGCGGAGTCATGTGACCTACAAACGTTCCAATGCCATGTTGTATGTATTAGATCACACGGTCATAGAAAGGTTGTCATTCACATGGTGGACGTGTTGGAATCATAGAGGGGAGTGGAGGCCAGTGGAGGGAATGACAGAGGGGGGTTGAGGACACTGAATGGAGGTCAGTGGAGGGATTGGCAGAGAGGGGTGGAGGTCAGTGGAGGGATTGGTAGAGAGGGGGGTGGAGGGATTGGCAGAGAGGGGTGGAGGTCAGTGGAGGGATTGGCAGAGAGGGATGGAGGTCAGTGGAGGGATTGGCAGAGGGGGGTGGAGGTCAGTGGAGGGATTGGCAGAGGGGGGGGAGGTCAGTGGAGGGATTGGTAGAGAGGGGTGGAGGTCAGTGTAGGGATTGGCAGAGAGGGGTAGAGGACACTGAATGGAGGTCAGTGGAGGGATTGGCAGAGAGGGGTGGAGGTCAGTGGAGGGATTGGCAGAGAGGGGCGGCAGTCACTGATTGGTTGGTAAGGTGTATGAGTCTAGCAGCAGCATTCATAATAGAGTGAAGGGGGTGTGGCCTGTGTGACGGTAGACCAGTGAGGAGGGAGTTGCAGTAATGGAGGCGGGATATAACAAGGCGTGGATGAGTTGTTTGTGGTGTCATTGGTCAGGAAGGGGCGGAGTTTGGCGATGTTCCGGGGGTTGAGGCAGCAGGATTTAGCCGGTGATTGGATGTGGGGGCTGGAAGGAGGGGTCAGAGTCTAGGGTAAACGCCCATCCCCCCAGCAACATGAGGGGCTTATTAGAGGCTCAGTGCGCTTCCTATAGGGGTGTATGAGACCTGCGTCCCGTATCACTGACCGTATACAACATAGTATATACTATATACCACCTAGAGCCCAAACATTTCCCTCACACTCGGGCTGCAGGCAGAACAACCAACGTTCCGGATTCCCATCTAAAGTCACTCTGTATTATACATGGAGATCGTATCCCCCTTATGTATTATACATGGAGATCATATCCCCCCTTATGTATTATACATGGAGATCATATCCCCCCTTATGTATTATACATGGAGATCATATCCCCCCCTTATGTATTATACATGGAGATCATATCCCCCCCTTATGTATTATACATGGAGATCATATGCCCCCTTATGTATTATACATGGAGATCATATCCCCCCTTATGTATTATACATGGAGATCATATCCCCCCCTTATGTATTATACATGGAGATCATATCCCCCCTTATGTATTATACATGGAGATCATATCCCCCCTTATGTATTATACATGGAGATCATATCCCCCCCTTATGTATTATACATGGAGATCATATCCCCCCTTATGTATTATACATGGAGATCATATCCCCCCTTATGTATTATACATGGAGATCATATCCCCCCCTTATGTATTATACATGGAGATCATATCCCCCTTATGTATTATACATGGAGATCATATCCCCCCCTTATGTATTATACATGGAGATCATATCCCCCCTTATGTATTATACATGGAGATCATATCCCCCCATATGTATTATACATGGAGATCCTATCCCCCCCTTATGTATTATACATGGAGATCATATCCCCCCTTATGTATTATACATGGAGATCATATCCCCCCTATGTATTATACATGGAGATCATATCCCCCCTTATGTATTATACATGGAGATCATATCCCCCCTTATGTATTATACATGGAGATCATATCCCCCCTTATGTATTATACATGGAGATCATATCCCCCCTTATGTATTATACATGGAGATCATATCCCCCCTTATGTATTATACATGGAGATCATATCCCCCCTTATGTATTATACATGGAGATCATATCCCCCCTTATGTATTATACATGGAGATTTTGTTACGGGCCCAATAAAATCCATCTGAAGGTCTGACCAAGGCATACATATCCCCCTCTGGAGAGGTGCTCTATGAGTTGGTTTGGTGGGTTGAAATTGGGGACATATCAGGCAACCTTGGCAGTACGCCTTCACATCACGTAACATATGAGGCCAGTAGGCATAATCCCGCAGGATCTCGTACGTGATCTTCTCTCCGCGATTCCCGGAAGTAGGAGCATCATGGGCATGCTGTAGCATCAAACCTCTAAATTTAAGTGGGACGACCCATTGTTGGATACCACCCTTTGAGGTTCCTGTCAACAATCCCTGGTACAAAGAGAATTCGGATTTGGATTTCATTAAAATACGTAAATCCTCCTTCCCGCTACATATTTCCTGATTGAGGGGATCATGGTTGGGATCTTCTATATGACTATAAAACAAGCCAATTATTGGGTCTTCTTTCTGGGCAGTAATTAAATCCTCACTAGGAGAATCGTGACTCCACTGTAACACGTTAGGATCACCAGCTGTTCTGGCCTGTTGCCTGGTGATAGCTTCAATCTGTACGGTACCTAAGAGATGATCTATGTCTAGTAATTCACCGGTGATGGCCCCTTCCTTGGCTAGAGAATCAGCCAAATCGTTCCCTTCTTTTTCGGCCCCTAGGACCTTGGAGTGGCCTCGGGTCTTTTTGAAGTACAGGGTTATATCATTGGACCTCACTAGCTCACCGATGTGACAAAAGAGCTTACCATGTTTGACGGGTTTGTGATTACTCTTGGTCATGTTGTTTCGCTTCAACCTGGGGAAATACTCCACAAAACTATTCCTGACATAATTGGAATCGGTTATGATGGCACATTCTCTTTAATGTTGAACTCTATAGCCATCTCAACTGCTCTTAGGATTGCAGTGAGTTCAGCAACCTGACTGCTTTTTGGTCCAAGTTTGTATCCCACAGAAATCGGGGTGAAACCTTGGGTCCAAACGATTCCAATACCTGCCACTAGTTGGAGCTGTTCCCCATCCTTGTGATGGAAAGCACAACCGTCTACATAAACGCACGGCAGCTGTTTACAGTATTCTTCATCGTAAACCTTGTAGGGAGAGAACAGATGTTCTTCCAGAAAGTCAGTGTCTGGGGGCTCCATAGCAGGCGTAGTTGTGGAACAATCATGGCGCTCAGCTAGGCCCTGGGCTACTGGACTTTTCTTGTTCTGTTTTATAATGAATTTCAAGAGGCCACCCTTGCAAAGACAAAGTCCAAGCAGTGATGCGGCTATTAGACACATTTCCTCCCCTGATACGTTCACTCTTTAAATACTGTAAAGGCTGGTGTGCCGTTTCAACAATGATCCTCTCTCCCTGAATGTAACTGCGGAAATTCTGTAATGCCCACACGGTGGACAATAGAGCTTTTCACAGTCACTGAATTTTATTTCTACCGGGGACAAAGTTTTACTGGCATAGGCAATCACCTTACTGACATTATCTTGTTTTTGGTAAAGAACAGAACTCATACTTACCTGCGTGAACCCTGTCTCTATATAGAAGTTTTTACCTCCCTCTGGATACACGAGACATGGGGCCTGTGTGAGACGTTCCTTCAACTCCTTCATGGCGTCTTCCTGTTTCTTACCCCACGACCATTCTACATCTTTCTTCAGTAGGTGAAGCAACGGCTTGCTTATCTCGGCGTAATTATCGATGAATTTACACGAGTAATTTACCATACCTAGGAATGATCTCAATTCTTTAAGGTTAGTAGGGACTTTACAGTTTAGAACCGCCTCAACCCTCTTCTTTTGTGGGTTCAAACCTTCAGCGGTCACTTCGTGGCCTAGGGAATTTACCCTTGTGAGACACCATTGGGCTTTTTGTAAGGATAGTTTAGCCCCTGCTGCTTTTAGTTGGCCCAAAACGTGTCAAAGTTCCGTAATATGATTGGCCATATCAGGACTTTTGATCAGGATATCATCCACATATGCCAACGTTCCCCGCTCGAGGGCATCTGGCATGGCCTTGTGCAAAACACGGCAAACTCATGTCCGGAATTTATAAATCCGAAAGGCATTCGCACCCAACAATACTGTCGGTTGCCAAAACTCACCTTGATGGTCCAATACCCCTGGGCACAGTCCAAGGCTGTAAAAACTCGGGATCCTTGGAGTTGGGCTAGACATTGGTCTATGTATGGGACAGGCCATCCTGACATGTAAACACGCTTGTTTAGCTGACGGAGGTCAGCGCACAAACGCCATTGTCCATTGGGTTTTAAAATACCCAGGATCGGGTGGATATAGGAGCTGTGGATGGGCTTAATTATACCCCTTTCATGTAACTTCCTGATAATCTCAGCTAGAGATTCATAGGAAGCTAACGGCAACCTATACTGTCTGACGAATACTGGTGGGGCATCTGGATCTGTTTGGATCCTGGCAATGTGTAGGTCAGTAGTCCCACAATCGTAAGAATCCTTGGCAAATATCTCTTGGAATTCAAGGAGAAGCTCTCGGAGCAATTGTCGGTCGAGATCATTGGACCACGCATCGGGGAGGGCTACCATCTCTTCGACTAACTCCTTGAATCCAGGAAAGCTTTCTGGCTGACCTATCTCATAGGCCTCTTCAAG